CCCAAAACTAGACCAGTCATCAAATAAACAGAAATGACTGACAACAAGTATAAAGTCTGTTTATTTGACGATTAGTCTAGTTTTGGGCTATTCTAAGACGTCTATTACATTTTCACTGACAGCCCAAGTTTAGTCTTGTTTTAAAAGACGTCTAATAGACATCTAAACATAGTCGTCTTGGCTAAAACAGCCCAATATACGCCTTGTTTTAAAAGAGGTCTTATAGATGTCTAATAAATGTGTAAACATAGTCGTCTTGGCTAAAACATGGCTAAATTTGGGCTGTCAGTGAAAATCTATTAGATTTCTAAGAATATTTTAAAACTATACTAGTCATCAAACGAACATGAATGACTATTTGACGACTAGTCTAGTTTTGGGCTATTCTTAGATGTCTATTAGATTTTCAGTGACAGCCCATGTTTAGCCTTGTTTTAAAATACGTCTAATAGACGTCTAAACTTAGTCGTCTTGGCTAAAACAGCACAAGATAAGCCTTGTTTCACAAGATGTCTAATAGACGTGTAAACATAGTCGTCTTGGCAAAAACAAGGCTGAATTTGGGCTGTCAGTGAAAATCTAAGAATAGGCCATAACTTGACTAGTCATCAAATAAACCGAATCGTCAGACTTTGTGTAGTCATTCGTTTCTGTTTATTTAACGACTAGTCTAGTTTTGGCCTATTTTCTTTAAAAGACGTTTAATATAATGTCGTCTTGGCTAAAACAAAGCTAAAATGAACAGAAATGAATGACCACACATATTACATCTGAATAATCTTAATGACTAGTCTAGTTTTGGGCTATTTTTAGACGTCTATTAGATTTTCACTGACAAGCCCAAATTTAGCATTGATTTATTCAAGCTATTTACGTTTGGATGTCTATTATACGTCTATTAAACACAAAAATGTTTGCTGGATGTGTGTGTTTGTAAAAAAAAAAGCATTTTATTTTGTAAAAAAAACATGTACATGCGATGTTTGATAGGGTCTGTGTATGTTTACACTTATGCTAATAATGATGCTGAGCTTTTTTCATCGTGCGATTTCTGTTCAGCTGGGCTTGGTTTTAGTTCTTATCACTTTATTTGATATTTCTTGCTGAATGAATTGTGTATTTTTGGAAAGGCTGCATTGCATTCTTATTATTTTTTTTATTTTGCAATGTTAATAATATCAATTCCCTCCATACTAGAAGATCAACTGTGTTTTTTTTTTTTTTTTTGTGGCAATAAATAAATTTTGTCATAAAGACGTCTGCGCACTTTGTTCTGGTAATTGATTTACATGTTATGTCTGCAATGATGAGAAATGTTAGCTCATCTGTTGCTACTGTGGTGGTAGGCCTGTTGCAATAATCAATATATTGACGTATTGTTCAAAACATGGACATGACATCAGTCGTTTTCGGTGACGCACTTACAATTTCCCACAATGTTTACATCTAAATGAATGTCACCAACAGTTAAGCTGATTGTGCAACCCTTGTCATCTCATCTAATTTGTGTTAGGTCCTTTATTTTAATAAACATCAGCTGAAGAAAAGACAAACTTTCACCGTTTTTTCTGATGCTTTGGATGAAGTTGTTAAAGTGAGCTCTGTTTCAGGCGGCACTGACCTCTAGAAAAGTGCAAAATGGCAAACATTCATAAATATCGCCTAATAAAGTCTTCATGACATCACAATTTACTATATTTTGTAGGGCACATTGTTAATTTTAAGGTGAACAATTAATCAGCTATTAATCCACTACATAAAAATGTGTGTTTTGTTTATTTTTTATCTAAATATAAGTATTTAACTTTTATAATTGCAGTTCTCCACTGATGATGTCAGTTGCATGGGTTGGGCTTAAGATGCATAGCCACGCCCCTCCAACCATTAAGCCACGGTCACTCCAGAGCAGAGGTGTCCAAACTCGGTCCTGGAGGGCCGGTGTCCTGGAGAGTTTATCTACAACTTGCTTAAACACACCTGCCTGGAAGTTTCTAGTATATCTGGTAAGAGCTTGATTAGCTGCTTCAGGTGTGTTTGATTAGGGTTGGAGCTAAACTCTGCAGGACACCGGCCCTCCAGGACCAAGTGTGGACACCCCTGGTTTAGATACTTGCATTAATAGATTTTTGACGAGGTAAATCAAACTACAAGGCCAGTGAGTGTACGCGAGAACTACACTTGTGTAATAATTGAGTATATACAGTAATTATGCGATAATTATAACATTTGACATGTCAGTGTGATTCAGGCATATTTAAGTCATAGGATGGCATAAAGGGTTGATTGGTGATTAGCATGAATCAAAATGTGCAGGTATTAGTCAAGTTGCATGGGTTTAAATACATATTGAATTTTCTGTATAAATTTCAGGTACATTTCCTGGGTTTATTGAATGGACTTGAGCTAAATAACAGTACTATTGTTTTGTGTAGAGCTAAATATAACCAAATTAAGCAATTTTCTCAATTAGACAACTGAATAATAGCATTATTCTTTTCCCTTACAAATATTAACCATGGTTTAATAAAGCAAAAGTGTAGTAAACATGGTTTATGGTAGATTGATTAGCACTTGTATTACCACAGTTGGTTGATTTGCTGTTAGGTTTGTTGTAATTTATTTGTAGTAAAATCATGATTAAATGTGTTATTTCCCTGTTTATTGGTGTAAAGCAGCTTTAAAACAAGCACTACTGTATTAATCGTCATAAAATAAAGGGCTTGTATCCCTTACAAAATTAATGCACGGTTTAATTTGTGACATAGCACGGTCACGTGGTACAAGTTACTTATCTCGGCGTTAATAACTTTAACCTCTCTTTTAACCAGGTTATCAGTTACAACTAGATAAAGTTTTTTTCAAATCGTAATATATCGATTGCTGGGTCTTTTTAACGTATATGTCACGTATTAATCACAAGAATCCATTGTTTAAACGATTACTTTTGGTGGACATAACGTCAAACTGACTTTTCCACAGCGTTCATGAGACACTGCAAATCAAATAAATTTCCGCAAACTAATATTTACTCTCTTTTTAAATAATAATTTGCTATAATTAATCGACATTAACAAACTATTCTTCATCTGACTTTACGTTGGAATATGTTGCGTAATACAAATACGTTGTCACATGGTGTTAAAACCTGAAATAGCCCTCATTCATAGGCTCTTCTAGCTGTCAATCAAATAATCAACCAATCGCGTGCGTCTATTGAGGCAGGCTTTCCGTGCTTTCCTCTGGTGTTTACATCTAAAAGAAGCGTTTAGGTAACTTCAACATGTCAGCCTCCATCGCACGGGCGACCGTGAGAGCGGTGAGCAGACGGAAAATACTGTCAACAAGAGCCGCTTTAACACTGGTGAGTTCTGACTCCATTTATAATACAATGACGCATCAGAATAAACGTTTATTTCTCATATGCTCGAGGTAGCATACATGACTGATGCGTTTAAACTTAGCCTCAGATCATTATCTGACTAATAATTGGATTATAACATTACGTCGCATTTTCTCAGACGTACAAATGGTGATTCAACTGTAAAACTGTGTTGTTTTCTTAAGGTTGTGTTTTATAAGTTAAATTTGACACTATAGGGTCGGTTTTTCAGCATGTTAGCCGTTAGCAGATGCTTGCACTGACAGGCAGGTTTATCTTAAAGGGATAGTTCACTAAAAAATACAATTACTCACTGTTTACTGACCCTTAAGTGGGTTCAAACATTTATATGTTTATTTATTCTCCTAAACACAAGATAAGATATTTTGAAGAAAGCTGTAACCATTGATTACCACTGTAGGAAAAACAAATACTATGCTAGTCCATTTTTACAGCATTTCAGCATGTCCAGCTTTACAACATTTCTCAAAACATCTTCTCGTGTGTTCGGCAAAAGAAATAAACAGGTTTTGAACAAGTGGAGAGTGAGTAATAACAGAACTTTATTTATTTATTTATTTTTTGGATGAACTGTCCTTTTAATTTTGTTTATGTTTTAAATCTGTACCAGAATGTTCTAGATCTGCTTTTCCAATATTAATGTTAAAGTTGAAGTGGTCTTCTCCACCCATTCCTCAGGCATTCACATGTCTAATCTGCTGTTTGGACAGGCTGTGCTGAATAGCTGAGTTGTTTGGGGTGAAGTTTAGACAGCAGGACTTCACTGATCTTATCCGTGTGTTCTGGGATCAGATATCCGATCTATAATTTGGGTTTGTTTTTTGAAGACTCTGAAACTCTCCAAACTGCATTCCCTTTGTAACAAATCAAGTGTGTACTTGAGTATAAATGGTTTGGGTACTGTGAATATTTATAATGTGTTAAACAGTACATTAAAACTGAAGGGAAATTAGTTAACGCTTTAGTTTAAGTAACATTTCACAACATTTACTACTGGCTTATTACCTGGCTGGTTTTAAGATATTAAAACAGCATTAAAAGTGTAAAATGATCTTATTTTACATCACTTATCCTACCCAATGCCTAAACCTTAATAACTTTGAATAAGTAGCGAATTAGTCAATTATTAAGCCAAAAGTCTTAGTTAATCATTTGTTAATAGCATAGATTTTACATTTAAAAAGTAACATAAATAATGTATATAATGTAAATAAAATCTACAGATCTTTTATTTCTGTATTTTTTTGTTAAATTATTTCATGATTAGTGTGGAGTAGAAGAAATATATATTTGACCTTTTTCTTCCTCTAATTTTAGTATTTTATTATTTAAAAAATTCAATAAAGAGATAAAAAAATTGAGAAGTAAATAAAAAATGAGTTTAGAGATGAACAAAACACCTGACCAATCAGAGCCCAGAGTAGGTTCATGTGACCAAACACAGCCAACTAGGCAACATCTGACCAATCAGAGCACAGCAGGTTCATCTGACCAATCACCACAAACTTAACCACAACAGAGTTGTGACATCTGACCAATCAAAACAAACTGGGCAACATCAGGGGTCCGTTCTTCGTACGTGGATTACTCAGTTAGCTGGATTTGGATATTGACGATTTGACACGATCCAGGATCGTTTCGTTCTTCAAAGCTGATCCGAGAGTTGTTGTCATAGCAACAGTTCTGCTAGCTCAAACCTGATCGGAAGCAGGTTCAATTCAAATAAACAGGATTAGATCGGCTTAGTTCAAGCAAAGATAATACAGAAAGTATGTTCCGAATTCTGATATTTTCTTACAGTAGTAGTTATATACACTTGGGAAAATGGTACATATTTTTAAACTATAAATATGAAGTTATAGTTATTAATAAAATAAATAAAGTTATACATATTAATAAAACTTATGCAATCTGCACCCTCGAAATGAAAGTACAAAGACTGCCACCTGGTGGTGCAAAGAGAAAACTTATTGATATGAACTTTTTAGATCGCTTCAGTACAAATTGTGTATAATAGAAATGCACAATATGTGACTTTTTTAAAGTAATAATACATTTATGCAGTCATAAACATGTATTGACAGTTAATATGACAGTGATTTGATGCTTCACAAAAGTTGCAGACGCCTTTACCAATATGAAAATGCTTTTGTAAACAACCAGTTATTCTTTACACCGATTAAAAAAAATAAAACGGCTTCTATAATAAAGAAAATCTTTTCTAAATGTAGAACTAAATACATTGATTTGGATTGAAATACATGATGAATACTCTTGACACATGAAAGTGTAAAGCCTGCAGCTCACAACAAATGTGGAAGGTTATTGCGTGTCATATTTAACAAACGGTTTACTGCTAATTTGATGTCATTTTGCTCACATGGATAATTGAATATTAATCAGATGATGTCATTACGCTGCTGTGCCATCAGCCAATAGTTGCATTGCTGATCATGATCTCGAGGATCGATAGATCTGTCCTTCACAACACATGCAGCGATCTCAGATCAGTTTATCCAGACATTCTAATCTGATTCGCAAACTTGTTTGATGAACCAAATTAGCGAGAGATCCGTTATCAAGATTAAAAGATCCAGGATCTGCCAAATCATCTTAGATCATTTAAGCGAGGTACGAAGAACGGACCCCAGATCGACCATGGCTCGTTATTATATGTATATATAATTCTGCTGTAATCTCTCGCTGTGCATTTCAAACATGGCGGCTCTTTTGTTTTCATCCTGGCTTGTTGTGTAAGCGAATGACGTATCTCTGTAAACCAATAGCCTTCTAGCTCCGCCTTTTGATACCCTTTCTTGTATTTGGTACTCTTTCAAAAGGGTGCCGAAAAAGTGGTACGATTCAGTTCGGTATGCTTTTGACAGTGGAAATGGCCATAAAAGCGTACTGTACCGTACCACTCAGTGGAAACGGGCCATTTATGACATGCATGATGTCATTGAGGAGGAAATGAAAACATAAACAAACAGTAGCCTTTGTGCTCATGTTTGTAAACAGAGGAGCTGCTGTGCTCTGAATGGTCAAGGTCACAGATCATTCAACTCTGCATGGATTGTAAAAATAGCAATATGTTGGTCTTTCTGTCTGAACTCGTGAAGCATTTCAGATATAGTGTTGCTTGTCGTTATTTTATAGTAATACTGTTCAGGGTTCAACGCTAAGGATTTTTTTCTACTGGCCCGATCGGACCAGTGGTTCAGATTTTTACTTGCCCTGCCAATATTGTCACTGTCCCCACCAAAAAAAAGTTAATAGCTATTTCTTAGCCACAAATAAAAAAAAAATGTCAAAATGTTTGTAAATCTAGAATTTAAATATTTAAAAAATGTTAATAAAGTGTTTTGCAAACAAAAGTAGCAAAATGTGCAGGTATTTTTTTGCAAAACAAAAGATGACTGACCTGCCAAACTAACGGCAAACTGTACAAAATATCACTTCATTTTTTTTAGTCGTGGTGTACCCTCGTAAAAGTCTGGTTCCAAGACGTTATAGACAAATGTTTTCGTTTAGCATCATCACTCGATGTTGCCGCCATGTTGCTGTCTCTTAGCTGTACTGGTTGTTATGGAAAAAAAATAACATGCTCACAACATCCAATCAGATAAGAGCAACCGAGAAGGTAGCATTTGAAGGCTTAAAAACACAAATGGTTTCTGTATTCTGTCTGTATTTGCAAGCAATTGACAAATAGTCACAGGCAAATTAAACTAATAGTGACAGGGCATTAGTGGCCCAATCGGGCCAGTAACGATCCTGTCTACTGTCCCGAGCATCTCACACGCTGGCCCCGGGCCATCGTGCAGTCCTTATTGTTGAGCCCTGCTGTTTTCGTACTGTTTCTTCAGCATGCCCTGCATTCGTGTGTTGTGGTCTGCTATTGTCAGTGGACTCCCAAACATCTTATTTCCAGTTATTTATAGCCTCTTCCCTTGTAAAACAGAACATGGTCACATGCTAGTCTCCTGGATCATGTCATCCATTAGAGAAGAGTTCATATTCAGTCACCCACAAATGCACACACTTCTCATCTGCTAATTCTTTGAGGTGTTGTGTGCTGCTCAAGCTGAAATATCTTCTTGACGTCAGTAGAGCAGGAAGGTGTTAGCTGTGCTTGTCAGATCGAGTGTGTTTGCTTTCTTCTGCTTCAATTGGTTGGAGTCTTCTAGACATCTTCAATTCAGTATTCAGTTGATTTATTTAGTACAGATTTTCAGTGGTTGAAATGAAATGACATGTTCTTACAAAAGTTTCCTTATTGTGGTATTTGAAAATGTTCCTACAGCAGGTTTGCATCCATCCAAAGTCAAAAAACACTTTAATTTGTTCGTAATCTCCATTGCAGCATCACAGTGTCTGAAACAGGTCATTTAATAATCAGGTTTTCTCTAAACTCCGCCTTTCTGTGAGCCAACTCTGCTCTTATTGGCTCAGTTATTTGTGATAAATCAGATGACCCTACTCTGCTCTGATTGGTCAGATGTTGCCCAGTTAGTTTTGATTGGTCAGATAATCCTACTCTGCTCTGATTGGTCAGATGTTGTTAAGTTTGTTTTGATTGGTCATATCATCCTACCCTGGCTCTGATTGGTCAGATGTAGCCCAGTTTGTTTTGATTGGTCTGATAATCCTACTCTGCTCGTATTGGTCAGATATTAAGTTTGTTTTGATTAGTCATATCATCCTACCCTGGCTCTGATTGGTCAGATGTAGCCCAGTTTGTTTTGATTGGTCAGATAATCCTACTCTGCTCGTATTGGTCAGATATTAATTTTGTTTTGATTAGTCATACCATCCTACTCTGGCTCTGATTGTTCAGATGTAGCCCAGTTTGTTTTGATTGGTCAGATGAGCATACTCTGCTCTGATTTGTCAGATGTTGCCCAGTTTGTTTTAAATGGTCAGGTGTTTTTACTCTGCTTTAATTGGTTAGATCACCCTACGCTGCGCTCTGATTAGTCAGATCACCCTACTCTGCTCTGATTGGTTAGATGTATTTAAGTTTGTTGTGATTGGTCAGATCACACTTTTCTGTGCTCTGATTGGTCAGATCATCATACTCTGCGTTCTGATTGGTCAGGTCACGCACGCTACTCTGGCTTTGATTCGTCAGAGGTTGCCTAGATTGTTTTGATTGGTCAGATGACCCTACTCTCCTCTGATTGGTCGGATGTTGCCCAGTTTGTTTTGATTGGTCAGATCACCCTACTCTGTGATCTGATTGGTCAGGTGTTCCCAGTTTGTTGTGATTGGTCAGATGACCCTTCTCTGCTGTGATTGGTCAAAAGTTCCCAGTTTGTTGTGGTTGGTCACATGACCCTACTCTGCTCTGTTGGTCAGATATATCCCATTTTGTTGTGATTGGTCAGAAGACCCTACTTTGCTCTGATTGGTCAGATGGCTCAGTCATTTGTGATTGGTCAGATGACCCTACTTTGCTCTGATTGGTCACATGGCTCGGTCAGTTGTGACTGGTCAGATAACCTTACTCTGCTCTGATTAGTAACAACTTCTAGTCAAGAATTCAATGTTACATTCTCAAAAGATCAGTTGATTAAAGCATTTATGCAAATTAGATGTAATTTACAATGTGCTTTCTTCATTTACAGACGCCTTCAGCTGTAAATAAAGTCAAACAGCTTTTAGATAATAAACCAGAATATGTGAGTATTGTTATTATTATTTGTATTAGTCATGAACATCTGTTGTTGCAATGAAACATTATTTCCCCATCTCATTTTCTGAATGCTACGTTTTCTCATCTTCAAACAGATTGGCCTGAAGGTTGGTGTCCGAACCCGAGGATGCAATGGCCTCACGTACACACTAGACTACACGAAAAATAAAGAGCAGTCAGATGAGGAGGTGTTACAGGACGGTGAGCAAACACATCACAACATCCCGACTTTGCAAGTGTTCGGGGTTAATTATGTTTATTTTGTAAAGTTTGACTCTCTCATTGTCAGTGATGCTACATTTATTTGATTAAAAATACCGTTTTGCTTTATTCAATTCAGTTTATCTTAATTTTAATAGCGATTTTACTATGTAGATTGTGTCAGAGCAGCTTCACATAGAAGTTCTAGTAGATTGAGACTGTCAGTCCAGATTTAAGAATTGAAGATCAGTTTAGTTCAGTGTGGTTTATTATTCACTGCTGAAAGTCCAAACACTAAAGAGCAAATCCATCAATGCACAGCTCCACAAGTCCCAAACCAAGCAAGCCAGTGGTGACAGTGGAGAAACAAACTTCCCCAATTGACCAAAGTGAAGGAAAAAAAACCTTGAGAGAAACCAGGCTCAGTTGGGCACGACCATTTTTCCTCTGGCCAAACGTCTTGTGCAGAGCTGTAGTCTAGGTGTCGAAGGCTGGGCAAGGTTGGACGTCCATCGTGAAGAAGCTGCAGGTGTGATTAGGTCACTGCCGGGTGTTCAGGCTGGCCTACGAGATCAATGCAGAGACTCGTCAGTCACTGGAGTCTTTCAGGAATCAGTCTCATGCTCTCCACTCCTACATGACCGCCACAGCATCTGCACAGGATACGGCCTGGTCCAGGATTATGGAGACCTCTAGATGTCCTCTGTGGTTGGCATCATCTCTTCACGGGACTTGGATCACATTAATGGCGCTGCACAATCTCTAGAGGCATTGGGAATTATATTTTAATTATTTAATCTAGTTTAATTAATTTAATTTAAATAATTTAAATGTAATTTTCGAGAATTTATTTATATTATAATTAAATTATTAGATAATTGTGTAAAAAATATGCTTTTATTCATCTATTTGTAATTTATTATTATTATTATTATTATTATTATTATTATTATTATTATTATATTTACTTAATTAATTTTTTAGTTTTATTTTACTTTAATACACATTAAAAGTTCCTAAAATCAATAAAGACAGTGTTTTTAAAAAAAATGTGTACAAAATAAAAGTATGTATGTGCATAACATTTGTGTACTGTGTATATTTCCATTTATTTCTGGTTATGCATTGCATTATGGGATCTTGATCTCTGCTTTGTTGACTTTTAATATTGAAAATTAAAACATAAAGGCAATATATCAGTTGTTGAGCTATTAAAAATGGCCTGTTTTCAATGTTTTCAACATCAGAACTTGTTTAAAGAAGTCAAGGTCACATTGTGCAATTTAAAAGCTGAAATAAATGCACATTTAACCATTTTGAACATGTATATTGTGTAATTTGGACCTGTTTATCTGCATTTCTCCAGGCGTGAGGGTGTTCATTGAGAAGAAGGCTCAGCTGACGCTCCTCGGCACAGAGATGGACTTCGTGGAGACTAAGCTCTCCAGCGAGTTTGTGTTCAACAATCCCAACATCAAGGGCACGTGTGGCTGCGGAGAGAGCTTCAACATATGATTCAGGACGCCCGTGCGAACACCAATCATGGGTAAAACGCTCCCATACAAACATCCATCCTGAAGACTCGTGGGTAAAAGAGACTGATGCTTTAGTGGCCTGTTTGGGCATCTTTTCCTGTGCAGCGTCCAGATTGCACAACATCCACTGATAGAGGGTCATTCGCATAATAATGATCATTTTGCTTGTACACAGTTTATTTATGTGCAGCTCAGAGGGGAACTGCACTCCATATTAAGAGTTTAATCTGTGCAAAGAAAGTGCTGTACCTGTCCAGTCGCACTGATGTGTATTTATGTTTAATAAACGTGACATAACGCCTCAACATGCATAAGAAATGTGCATTTGTTATTTTTCGGGTTACGTTTGGTGGATTGTTGACCAGCGTTACAGTCTGCAAGTCAAACTTAGGAGACAGTAAGATTTGTTAATGCTGTAAAATTAAAAAAAAGGCATTTCTGCTCTCCAAGGCTGCATTTATTAGATCAGAAATACAGTATAACTTGTGAAATATTATTATGATTTGAAAAAACTCTCTTCATATTGAATGTAGCTTCAGATTTAATTAATTCTTGCGGTTCAAAGCTGAATTTTCTCATCAGTCTTCAGTGTCACATGATCATTCAGAAGTCCTTATAATGTCAGGACTGTTATGGTCAGTTATTATTGGTGCAAAATCATTAATAGTGATTTGTCTTGCTTTATAGTATTGTGGAAACTGTGATACTTTTCACTTCTAAATGAAATAGAAATAAAAGCTTTATTTCAAAATAAAAGCTTTTATTTCCAATCAATTTTTTAATAATTTTTTTAAATAAAAGTTTTAATAAATAACTGTTTTTATTTGCGATTTTATTGGACAATAAATCCAAATAAAAGCTTTTATTTGCAGTCTTTTTTCAAATGAAAAGTTATTTGCAATTTGTTTTTCAAAATAAAAGCTTTTAATGGCAATTTATTGTTTAAAATAAAAGCTTTTATCTGCAATCTTTTCTAAATAAGTTATTTCCATGCTTTTGTTAACAAAATAAAAGCTTTTAATTATGAAATCTTTTTCAAAATAAAAAGCTGTTATTTGCAATCCTTTCAAAATAAAAGGTTTTGTTTTTTTCAAACTAAAAGCTGTTATTTGCAATACTTTTTAAATAAAAGCTTTTTTGCAATCCCCTTTTCCCACAATAGCTTTTATTTGAAACCTTTTTTTTAAATAAAAGCTTTTAATTGCAATTTGTTGTTCAAAATATTTTTTTTATTTGCAATCTCTTTTCAAAATAAAAGCTTTTATTTCCAATTTATTTAAAATAAAGCTTGTATTTGAAATGCTTTTATTTGCAATCCTTTTTTTCAAAATAAAAGGTTTTGCAATCTATTTTTCAAAATAAGGTTTTGCAATCTCTTTTTTTTACATTATTAATGTATTTACTTGAAAGCTTCAACAATTTATTGCAATAAATAAAAAAAATCTATTGTATTTTATCAGTTTCATCAAACTGTTAATGTTTTTTTCTTGAGCATGTCATGATAATAGTATATTTGTATACAATATGATATTTATACATATGTGTATAATAGGATTGTGACGCTGAAGACTAATGCTTTAAACTACAATAATTAAAAGAAGATTCAGATTAAATAAAATAACTTTTTATAATTTCACAGTTTTTACTGAATGTTCTATTTTATAAACGCAGCTTTTGTGAGCAGAATAAGCTCAAATATAAATTATAAGAATAGTACGTATTAATTCTAAACTTGTATAGCAGTGTTTGTGCTATTAAAAGAACAGATGGACGCTGATTAAGATATGATCTTCGCACTTTTTGACCACCACTTGCTTTTTACCCATAATTCCCAGAGGAAGTGCAGCACAGGAATTGATGCCGCTTGCAGAAATTGTACTTAATTGACTTGAACTTGTATTAGTGTATGAATGTGTATATAACAATGTAAATCCCTTCCACTGTCTTTTAACGCACAAATAAACTTTCATTCTACCTGAGCAAAAGTGATTCAGTTGCCTTTATTGACCTGAATGTGGCGCTGTTTTGCAATGTGCTGTGGGTATTAACATTACCATCCATTCTTTGACCATAAACAAGTTTTTAAAGGAAATAATTAATACTTGATGGAAAATTTGTCCAATTATTAATCTAAATTGCACAACAAACAAACAAACAAACAAACAAACAAACCAGTTTCATTTGAATTCACAGCACTGATTGTGTACTAGTTAATAATATTCATTCATTCATTTTCCTTCCGCTTAGTCCCTTTATTCATCAGTGGTCGCCACAGTGGAATGAACCGCCAACTTTTCCAGCATATGCTTTACACAGCGGATGCTCTTCCAGCTGTAACCCAATACTGGTAAACACCCATACACTCATTCACATTCACACAGAAACACACACACTGGTTAGTTTAGTTTATTAAATTCCCCTATAGCGCATGTGTTTGGACTGTGGAGGAAACCGGAGCGACCGGAGGAAACCCACGCCAACACGGGGAGAACATGCACACTCCACACAGAAATGCCAACTTGAATGACAGGACTCGAACCAGAAACCTTCCTGCTGTGAAGCGACAGTGCTAATCACTGAGCCACCGTATCGCCCAGCCTGCTTTTAATTGCTTGTAATTGTTTTCAAACCACTATCAATCAATTATTAGTGCGACCAAACAATGCCAGACAGACCCAGATAAAGCAGCACATTAGAGTCTCAGTGTTTTTAGTGCGATCATTTCCAAGTTTCAATAGTGAGTGGTTTATGTTTGTGCCTCATATATCAGTCTTCCTTAAATATGCTGCTTGAAAGAATTGCAGCTTTAATAACAACTTGCCATAATATACAATGCACTGCTTTTTCTGCCCACTCCCACCACTATATTAATATATGAACGGAGCTGGTGGGAGTGAACTGTTGTGTCTGAATGAGCTCCTGACGGGAAGAAGGAAGGGGAGGGGGGGGTCTGCTTTGTTCTGCTTTTCTTTTTGGATATAACTTCCTCTTGCTTTATTTTTATTTTGTCACTTTTCTCTTACTCTGTCATTCATTTTGAACGTATTATTTTTCGCTTCATTATTTTTGTTTGTGTTTTATAGAAGAGCTTTAGGTTTTTAATTCACATTATCTAAACAAGATCTGAACAATTGTAATAATCTAGTGCTGGTGTATCTTATTTCATATATATATATATACACACACACATTCATGTATGTGGGCGGAGTAATACACAGAGGTGATGAGACCTTTGTTTGATGTTACTGGCAAAATATCGCACCGGCTATCAGCCAATTAGATTAAAGAACCAGACAGAACTGTTGTGTGTATACACACACACACACTCATCGGCCACTTTATTAGGTACACCTGTCCAACTTCTCTTCAATGCAAATTTTTAATCAGCCAATCACATGGCAGCAACTCAATGCATTTAGGCATTTAGACATGGTCAAGACGATCTGCTGCAGTTCAAACTGAGCATGAGAATGGGGAAGAAAGTGGATTTAGGTGCCAGACGGGCTGGTCTGAGTATTTCAGAAACAACATGAAATCATGGATCCATCCTGCCTTGTATCAGTGGTTCAGGCTGCTGGTGGTGGTGTAATGGTGTGGGGGATATTTCCTGGGCACACTTTGGGCCCATTAGTACCAACTAAGCATCATGTCAACGCCACAGCCTGAGTATTGTTGCTGACCATGTCCATCCCTTCATGACCACAGTGTCCTCATCTTCTGATGGCTACTTCCAGCAGAATAAAGCGCCATGTCATAAAGTGTGAATCATCTCAGACTGGTTTCTTGAACATGACAATGAGTTCACTGTACTCAAATGGCCTCCACAGTCACCAGATCCTCAATCCAATAGAGCTCCTTGGGGATGTGGTGGAACGGGTGATTCACATCATGGATGTGCAGCCGACAAATATGCAGCAACTGCTTGATGCTATCAAGTCAATACGGAGCAAAATCTCTAAGGAATATCTTTTAAGTTCCTTGTTGAATCTCTTGCCACGAAGGATTAAAGCATTGAAGGCAAAAGGTGGTCTAACACGGTACTAGTAGGGTGTACCTAATAAAGTGGCCGGTAAGTGTATATTATATATTAGAACAACCTTTTATTTTATTAATCTTTGCCCAGCTCTAATAAAAATAATGAATCCAAAGCTCTGATCTATTTTATCTTACAGAGTCTCGCCCTAATTATATTAAGGATTTTTATAGTATTGTTTACATATTTTTAATGAAGTGACGCCACGCAAAAGCGCCACCTGCCGCCCCCGCGAGACTGTTGTCATGGTTCCCAGTGTCGCGGGCAGAATGGCGCCCTTCAATGAGCGCTAAAACACCCGGGAAGAAGCCGTTTACAAGCCATAATTCAGCAGACAACACTGCAGTCCCAAAACACAGCCCGACATGACGCTGATAATGTGCGCAAACCCTCCAGTTTAACAACAGAGAGCTTCCAGAACGGCACAGAAATGTCTTCTCCTTCACCTTCTTCTACGCTGAGTGACTCTGGCTTTGAAGACGAGCTCCTCTGTTCTCCAGTCAGGTGTGCATCAGACTCACAGGTGTGTGATTATGAAGACTCGGAGACCTGCTTCATCATCCAGAGACTCAATCAACAGCAGTTTCTGGCGCTCAACTGCCTCTCAAGACAACCGCAGGTCAGATAAACATAAGTTTTGACCGACTCAATCCTTATTTTCTTATTTTAAATCTTTTTAATTCTCAGTGTAAACATCCATTTCTGATTTAGGATGAGGACTAGCATTACAGAGGATAATAATGACAAGTGCTTACGCTTATTTTAGTGGAAAAAACAGTGTTTTCACTGTTTCTATTCCCAAATTCTTAAATAAATAATAAATATTTCTGAGTATAAGCACTCTTTATACTGCTTTAGGATATATGGAGGATGATAATGATTAGCTCTTATGCTTTCTTGAGTGGATAAACAGTATTTTTGACCGTTTTGATTCTTATATTCTTAATTTAACTTAGCTTAAACACTCTTTATTCTGCTTTAGGTTGAGGACTTGCATTACAGAGGATAATAATGATTAGCTCTTATGCTTTTTTAGTGGAAAAACAGTATTTTTGACCATTTCTATCCTTAAATTCCTAATTAAATTTCTTTATATCAGTATTAACATTCTTTATTCTGCTTTAGGATATACAGAGGACAATAATAATTAGCTCTTACACTTTCTTTAGTGGAAAAACAGTATTTTTGACCATTTCTATCCTTAAATTTTTAATTAAATGTCTTTGTCTCAGTATTAACACTATTTAAACTGCTTTAGGATATATGGAGGATGATAATGATTAGCTCTTATGCTTTCTTGAGTGGATAAACAGTATTTCTGACCGTTTTGATTCTTATATTCTTAATTTAACTTAGCTTAAACACTCTTTATTCTGCTTTAGGTTGAGGACTAGCATTACAGAGGATAGTAATGATTAGCTCTTACGGTTTCTTTAGTGGAAAAACAGTGTTTGTAGCCATTTCTATTCTCAAATGTCTTTCCTTAGTTATCTGTATTCAAATAAAATACATTCAATTGACAGCAATGTAATTTAATTAAATTATTTAAAGAGATAGTTCGTCTAAAATAAAAATTACTGCCTTTTTTATTTCGTCATTTGAGTTTTTCCTTCTGTTAAACACAAAAGATGATATTTTGAATGGGAGTATGGACGTATTATTATTATGTAAGTATTTTTTGAGTTTTTATATCTTTATTAGAAACTCAAACAGGTGTTAAACACGCTTTATTCTCCTTTAGGATGAAGACTAGTAATAGAGAACATGATAAAGACTAGCTCTCATGCGTTCTTTAGTGGAGAAACAGTATTTTTGACCGTTTCGATTTTTAATTTAACCTATTATAAACACTCTTTTTACTTCTTTAGGATGAGGACTAGCATTACAGAGGACAATAAGGATTAGCTCTTATGCTTTTTTAGTGGAAAAACAGTATTTTTGACCATTTCTATCTCTAAATTCCTAATTAAATTTCTTTATCTCAGTATTAACATTCTTTATTCTGCTTTAGGATATACAGAGGACAATAATGATTAGCTCTTATGCTTTCTTTAATTTCGTTTATTTATTTAAAGAGATAGTTCATATCAAAAGAATATTATCCCATCATTTATTCTGTCATTTAAGTTTTTTCCTCCTCTGTTGAACACAAAAGAAGATCATTTAAAGCATGCTGGCTGCTAACATTCTTCAAAATATCTTCTCATGTTCAACAGTGGATAGAATCTCAGACAGGTTTAAAACACACTTTATTCTGCTTAAGGATGAAGACTAGTAATACAGAAGATGATCATAATTAGCTTTCGTTAGTGGAAAAAACACTATTTTTGATTGTTTCTGTCCCTAAATTCTTAATTAAATTTCTTTAACCCAGTATAAACACTTTTTATACTGTTTTAGGACGAAGCATTTTACAGAGGACAATAACGATGAACTTTTACGCTTTCTTTACTGGAGAAATAATATTTTTGACCACTTAAATTCTTAATTAAATTTTCTTTAACTCTCAGTAACTCTCTTTATACTGCTTTAGGGCAGGGATTCTCAACCCTTTTCACTTCAAGCCCCACCTTTTTTTCCAAAGGCCCAAACTGATTGTCTAGAGAAAATGCTTATTTTAAAGCTTTATTTATTAGCAAAACATTACTTTTGCCTTCTATTATTCTTTTGTTTTTCTACGTTTTTTAAAATAAAATGCATGTGCATGTTTGTGTATATACAGTTGAAGTCAGAATTATTCGCCCCCTTTGAATTTTTTTCTTCTATTTTAAATATTTCCCAAATGATGTTTGACAGAGCAAGGAAATTTTCACAGTATGTCTGATAATCGTTTTTCTTCTGGGGAAAGTCTTATTTGTTTTTTTCGAGCAGAATAAAAGCAGTTTTTAATTTTTTACACACCATTTTAGGGACAAAATTATTAGCCCCTTTAAGCTAATTTTTTTCCCGATGGTCTACAGAACAAACCATCATTATATAATAACTTGCCTAATTACCCTAACCTGCCTAGTTAACCTAATTAACCTAGTTAAGCCTTTAAATGTCACTTTAAGCTGTATAGAAGTGTCTTGAAAAATATCTAGTCAAATATTATTTACTGTCATCATGGCAAAGAGTCAATAAATCAGTTATTAGAGATGAGTTATTAAAACTATTATGTTTAGAAATGTGTTGAAAAAAATCTTCTCTCCGTTAAACAGAAATTAGGGAAAAAAATAAACAGGGGGGCGAATAATTCAGGGGAGCTAATAATTCTGACTACAACTATATATATATATAGTGGTTTGGTTTGTAGCTGGACATTACTGGAGTTCGCTGACAGGAATAGTGAACAGCTGTTCACTACTGAAACTCCACCTAGTCTTGCTAGATCCTCTTGTACGGACGTGCGTCTGTTAAAAAACACTTACAAGACGTTAATTTGGGCAATTATGTGGATATTTCAGAATACACACAAAGAGAACATGCATAGTCTAGTTTGTGAATCAACTGACTTGCGTGGCTCTGATACAGGATGAGTCGCAGATGTGTCGAATACCACACAAATATTGTATTATTACTCTCTGAAACTGACCCTTTTAGGCTTTGATAGTGCTGTTTTGGTGACTGTCGCTTTAAATGCAAATGAATTTGTGCTCTTTCAATCGTTCTGTCTTCAAACCCCTTATAAAAGTGATTTTAGCACAATAGGTCCCCTTTAAAGTAACTTCTGTAATGCTGCTCCTTGTAGATTACAGCAGAGGCTCGCAGTAAGCTGGTCAGCTGGCTGATCGCTGTGCGCAGACAGCTCAGTCTGTCGTTTGAGTCCTGCTGTCTGGCTGTGAACATCATGGACCGCTTCTTGATCACTACATCAGTAGCTGCAGACTGTTTCCAGTTACTGGGAGTGACGTCTTTACTCATCGCCACTAAACAGGTACGGGACAGAGCTATCGTTTGCTTGCTTTCATCACAGTAGTGTTCAATCAAGAGTTTTTTTTGTTGTTGTTAATATTAGCTGTTAGGTGTTGGCTTGGGAAAAAGAAGTGCACTTAAAGGGATAGTTCACCCAAAACATGAAATCTTTTTTCCTTCAATTTTTTTTTTATTGCTTAAAGAACAATTTAGAACAATACAAAAAGAAATGGAGAAAAAAAATATACACACACAAAGAAAATAATAATAATAATAATAAAAATAAAATGTCAGGGGTATACAGATCAAAACATGTACACCACAATGTGTATATAAACATACTAACAGAAAAGGGCCTTGAGAAATTACAAGATTTGAAGGTTTCAAGTAAAAAAGCGGTTTTAATGGCTTTTTATTAGTGCTTTGCTTTATGATGTTTGTATAGTGTTTTAATTCAATTAGTATAGCAGGAAAAAATGGTTTTTGATTATTAAATTTGCATCTGTGAATATGGTTTTTTCCTTCAATTGTACCAAACCAGTTAGAGTTTCTTTCTTCTGTTGAACACAAAAGCAGATATTTTAAAGAAAGCTGAAAATCGGTAACCATTGACTTCTATAGTATTTGTTTTTCCTACTATTGAAGTCAATGGTTACAGGTTTATAGCATTCTTAAAAATATCTGCTTTTTCGTTTAACAGAAGAAGGAAACTCTTTAAAGTGATAGTTAATCCAAAAATGAAAAAAGTACTCACTTTGAGGGGGTAATAAACTGTTATGCGTTTCTTTTTTTAAAAACATAGGTACACAATAATGTACATAATGGGATATATATCTACACAGACTTTTAATTACAGTCAGCCAGCCTCAGTGCTTCCGGTGAATTGCCTTTCCATTATAAAATTGCCACATTTAAGGTCTGTTTTCTTTAAAAACCAGTGATCTTCACCGCCTGATTGATATACTATATAAAGTGTGTCTCAGACCGGACAAGAAGCCCTGCATTAAATTCCATTTTCCCCCGCCATGTCTTTAAAATATGACAGTTTATTTTACCCCTGAATTTTTAATGGAATTTCTGCGCTTGCTTTACAACAGGGCTAGCAGTTACACAATCTTTCATCTCGCTTTACACTTGAACAACTAAATGAATGCTTATGTCTATTTACCTGATTGTATTTTAATTACATTACAACATCTATGCTTTCACCGGATGTTTAGCATTGGCTGAAAAACACTAGCTGTGCATATAACCTATTAGCTGATAATCCATCACCATTAGATCATTCAAGTTGTATGCTTTGTTTTCTTGAACAAGAAATATATCTTGTCATTCAAGCGCTATAGCAAGCTGCTGGAATGCTGAAACAATAAGTTTGACTCTCATATGGATGCTTCAACAGAACAGAATAGGCCTTAAAATGGAGCCCTGGGGAACGCCACCATTCTAAACAATTCACTTTCATTGTAAGAGCATAAAGTCAGTGGTTACTGGTTTTAAGCAAATTTTAGTATATTATCTTTTCTGACTTAAATGGGTTTGCAACAAGTGGAGAATAAAAAAAATTATGACAGAATTTAAATTTTTGGATGAACTATTCCAATAAATGTATTGTATAGTGTATAGTTTGCATCTTCTTCTCGTGTTGCCGTGGGTTTCCTCTGTGTGCTCCGGTTTGTATAAATGTATAACAGACATACACATTTAAATGTCTTTTTAAATGCCTTTAAATGTCACTTTAAGCTGTATAGAAGTGTCTTAGAATATATCTAGTAAAATATTATTTACTGTCATCATGGCAAAGATCAAACAAATCAGCAATTAAAGATGAGTTATTGAAACTATTATGTTTAGAAATGTGCTAAAAATTTCTCCGTTAAACATATTGGGGAAAGAATAAACAGGTGGGCTATTAAATCTGATTTCAACTGTATACATGCACATATACACACACACACATTATATATATATATATATATATATATATATATATATATATATATATATATATATATGAGCAATTCCGTGCAAATGTCAACCTTGCCATAAAAAAATTAAGTTTTCACCAAAATACGGAAACCATTTCTGGGTTTTTTGTGTGAGCAAGTATTTTACAGTAATTTAAAAATACTCAAAAATGCATCGGTTAATGTTTTCAAACTATTCTATTTGATTTGCCAAAGTCACACAAGGGGCAATTTCACATCTGTCACATCCAAAACAGAAAGACGTCACATCCATAACGACACTTTTACCTCATAAATGTGAAAATATTAAACAAAATAAACCCAATCATTGTTGTTTTATAGAGAGCCGACTCTTATCCTTTTGATTAGCATTGTTTTTTTTTTTGGGTTGTGCAGTTTAATTCACAGAATTTCTACAAAGTGTGTCGTAGACTGTAAACATGCAGACTTTTTTTGTCACATCCATAACGCATGTTTATTTCCCTCATTTAAAGTATAAAACATGCTTACAGATTGATATTTTTCTGGTCCCTTAACTCTGTGGTTAGTTGTTCTGTAAAATATAAACCGATAATTCAATATAATGTTAACATATGCATTCTATGTGAATTTATGTTTTGAGTTTTTACTGCAAATGTCACATCCATAACCCTGGAATTGCTCATATATATATATATATATATATATATATATATATATATATATATATATATATATATATTTATTTATATATTTATTTATTTATTTATATGCATATGCTCATGTGTGGATGTCAAAAGAATTTATATTATGTAATGTAGGAGATGAATCTTGAAAACAATACATTGAATAAAAAACATGTACAACCAACTCCAGACTGACTTATTTCAGCAGTATTAACATGTTACACATTTACACAGTGCATGAGTTAAACAAAGCCTGTTGCACTCCTTTAAGATATTCATCCATGTACTTACAGAAATAGTAAAGATCCAGGTTCCCTCTCATCAAATATTTATTACATCGCATATTTATTATACATTTAGATATTATACATGCATTTAAACATTTATTACTATATATGTTAGCTCCCTTATATCTCTTATCGTTTTAAATATAAGAGCATACGCTATGATAAAGGTACATTTCGCACATATGTAAACAGCCTTTCCTAAACTATGCTAACGTATGGATCGTCACCCACCCTCGCAAATAAAAACGCAATTTTTGAGGAAAAACGCATATCCTTTATTAAGTTTAGAGTGTGGAGCGATAGAATGTCGGTCCACAAGATAATAAACATCCGCTGTAAATGGTAATTGTTAGCAAAGTTTTCAGAGAGGTAGTGAAAACTATAGCGTATATGACTCCACTGCTTCGGCCGGAAGTGTGGATACGCAACTATCGCTTAACCGGATGTGCATGCGACCGTCTGTTAAAAAGGCCTAGTGGATGCTGCACACTGGTGGTGGTGTGAAGAGACCCCCCCCCCTCCCCCCTCATGATTGTGAAGCACTTTGGGTGTATGGCTATACAGAATAAATGTGCTGTATAAATGCACATTACATTACACTAATCCACAGCCTGTGCATACAGTTCTCTTCAACGGCCTGAGGGTGAGTAACGTAAAAAAGTAAAAAAGCAAAGTAATTCATTAAATGTTTCCTTTTTGGATGAAATATCTCTTTAAATGCATTATTTCCAAAATAACTACTGTTTTTTCCTCAAATAAGTGTGTTTATTTTTCACTAGGGTAGTGCACAGCTCTCAGTTGCCGTGATGATAATTAGCACAGTCTTTTAATGAGATGCTTGTGTTTTTCCAGGTTGAAGTGTATTCTCCACGCATCACCCAGCTTCTGTCGCTCTGCTGCAATTCGTTTTCCCGAGAACAGCTCTGTAATCTCGAGTGCCTGATTCTTCTCAGACTCAATTTCAGACTGGCTGCGCCCACGCTTGCTTTCTTCCTGGACTACTTCACCAGTCGCTTTACTGGACACCAGACTGGCGAATTCATCAGCGCGCAGAATGCGCATCTACATAAAGAGCCCAGTTCTGCTGAGAACAAGTGGAGATGGTTGGCCTGCAAAGTCTGTGAACTGAGTCTGGCCGACTACACGTTCAACAAATACATGCCTTCGGTGATCGCGCAGTGTGCGTTAAAACTAGCCAAAGACCTGCTGAAGACACAATCAGTGCAAAACTCAGAGGATAACACTGGAGCAAGCAAGATGTTATGCTGTGAAGAAGAGGCACCGCTTACCTGCGAAAATCAGCTTTTGTTTCAGCAGTGCATGGAGGATCTGAAACTGTTGGTTTCTCTTAATCAAGAAGCAGTCCAGGACACCCGATGAATGAAGCATGATTATTTTTGATAACACTTTTTAGTATTAGTTACTCTGTTTACTAACATGAACAATGAACAATATATTTAGTATTTGTTCATGTTAGGGGGTGACACGGTGGCTCAGTGGTTAGCACTGTCGCCTCACAGCAAGAAGGTCGCTTGTTCAAGCCCCGGCTGGGCCAGTGGCGTTTCTGTGTGGGGAAAAAAATCCCTCCAAATTTCACGATACAGGACTCTGCAGTCCTTCACTGACTCGATAGGTGCAGATAATAGTGTCAAACAACTGTGTGTATGGAAAATCCTGTCGCAAAATGCGGCAAAAATTCTACGCGATTGTAATAGTGATTAAGATACCTAAGCTGCACTTCAATAATCTCACTGAAATCGGCTCAATCCAAGCATCTTAATATGATTTTTGTTTAGTTCGATTATGACTTTAGTCAGATTAAGGTCATTAAAAATGGCTGTTTACATGCTAGACTCATGATCATTGTATTGTTCATTCATTCATTCATTCATTCATTTTCTTGTCGGCTTAGTCCCTTTATTAATCTGGGGTTGCCACAGCGGGATGAACCGCCAACTTATCCAGCAAGATTTTACGCAGCGGATACCCTTCCAGCCGCAACCCATCTCTGGGAAACATCCACACACACACACAGTTTGCATCTTCTCCTCGTATTGCCGTGGGTTTCCTCTGTGTGCTCCGGTTTCCCCCTCAGTCCAAACACAAGCGCTATAGGGGAATTGAACTAAACTGGCCGTAGTGTAAATGTGCGTGAGTGTGTATTGGTGTTCTCCAGTACTTTATAGCTCATTTTCCTTTGGCTTAGTCTCTATTTCAGAGATCTCCACAGCGGAATGAACCGACAACTATGCCAGCATATGTTTTACACAGGGGATGCCGATCCAGCCACCACCCAGTACCCTAACTCTTACACTACTGTCTACCTAACCACAACCCTAACACCTAACCCTAACCACTAACCCCCAACAGCTAACCTAGTCCCTAACCCCAACCCTTACCCAAACCTTAACACCTAACCTAACCTAAATGTTACGGGTCCCGGCCGCGGAACTCGTAGGCAGATTAAAGTGCCTGAATTATCAGGAGAAACAAAATCACAAGAAAACTTCAGTGTCTTTCCTCAGGAGCAGCTTAGTAGCATCTGTTTATTAACAGTCATAGTATAGCAAACATATCCTCACAAATCATGTTTCATTTTATCAAACGCACAGTTTTGTTCTCTTTTTTACAACAATGAAGTCTTCAAATACTTATACACTCTGTACTCTCATTAACACATATAAATATTATACCTTCTGTATATTTATCAGTAGCACACAGATTACACTTTAAATCCTTTGTCAATCATCTATTTCATTTTTCTTTCTTTGTAAATACCTCTGTATATTACCATTTAACATAAGACTACTAAACTCACTGAACAGTCATGCGTCTGTTATTTGTATCATTTAAATTGTAACAGTTACAATTGACACCAATTACCAATGTTACTCTCTACTCTCATAAACTTTATACATTAACAAATATACCACTAATATATACAAATAATAAGTCACTTTCTGTTTAATTATCACATACTGAGTATAATACATATCATTTACTGGGAAGTCAGTTGTAAACTCAGCCCAACTGTCATTTTACTGGTACTTTCATCTGAATCACTCCTCTGAATTAACAACTGTAAATATGCTATTCACTTTAAAAAAACACATAGGAAATGTGTACTCACATGTTTTTACATGAATTATAATAAACATATTGAGTTTTTTTTATGAAACATACCTGAATTATCAGGAGAAACAAAATCACAAGAAAACTTCAGTGTCTTTCCTCAGGAGCAGCTTAGTAGCATCTGAAGTAAACACAACAAGTATCGCCATGGTAACCCACGGCGCATACTTTCTCAACTGTTGATGTTATTTTGTTTCAAACCCAGTCATTAGTAGTGATAATAAATGACTTTTACAGTATATACATAAATAAATAGATACATTAATGACAAAACAAACATTACTACTGTGGATACACAATGGTGTATCACATAAACTTAACCCTAAGCCCAACCCTTACCCTAACTCTAACACCTAACCTTAACCCTAACCACTAACCTAAACCTTAACCCTTATCCTGACCACTCTTCTAACCCTAACACCTAACCTTAACCCTAACCACTTACCCCAACCTAACCTTAATTTTAACCCTAACCTAACCCCTAAGCCTCTAAGACTAACCCCTAACTCTAATCCTTAACATGATTGTACATACACACTCATTCACACACACACTCATACACTACGGCCAATTAAGTTTATTGGTTCACCTATAGCGCATGGGTTTGGACTGTGGGGGAAACTGGAGCACTCGGAGGAAACCCATGCCAACATGGGGAGAACATGCAAACTCTACACAGAAACACCAACTGACCCAGCCGAGACTCGAACCAGCGACCTTCTCACTCTCTTTTTCCTTTAATACAAAATTTTGAGTGGAAGGGTGGATTTACTGATTAACACATGGAACACAGCAGTATTTGTGCCGGACATTATTTATGCATTAGAAAGGTTTTATTTTAAATGTGTATGTAGAAATAAACCACTAGAATATAATTCATTCATTCATTCATTTTCTTTTCGGCTTAGTCCCTTTATTAATCAGGGGTCACCACAGCGGAATGAACCGCCAATTTTCCGGCATATGTTTTACCCAGCGGATGCTCTTCCAGCTGCAACCCACTACTGGGAAACACTCATTCACACACTCATACACCATTAAACCATTAAACCATTAAACACTCATACACTATTTAGTTTCTTCAATTCCCCTATATTGCATGTGTTTGGACTTGTGGGGGAAACCGGAGCTCCCGAAGGAAACCCACGCCAACACAGAGAGAACATGCAAACTCCACATAGAAATGCCAACTGGCCCAGATTAAAAATAAAAAACTCTTCATAAAAAAAGACTTGAACAGACAAACAAAGTAAACACAATGATTTAAGACAAAAGAAAGGTAATCCAGAATCAAAATACAGGCGAAACTAAGGCTTAAATACACTAGGAACTAAAGAAACATGGGAGTTGAAGACCACAATATACGTCTAGATGCCATCTAGTCTCCCTCATGGACACTGCAGCCTAGACTTATGACACTTTTACTCGGGAATTGTTACTTTAGATATGGTTTTCAATACTAATCCCATGCGACTATGCCTAAAGATGACGTGTATTTGTGATGATTGGGATGCAGCTCAACACACGATTCATCAAAAAATCTACTTTTATCCAAATAATCAACTAGAAGTCAAGTTATTATTTGTTTCTCTTACAACTGGGATCGACGACAAGACTTCTGTCAGGTGTATTTGTGTACACACAGCCGCCACATATTTTGCTGCAGGCCATGTGAGTGGCTTCATGTGTTACACAAGTCGGTTAGTCAGCACAGACAGGGCGTGGAGGAAATTAAGTGAACTTAAATAACTAAATGTAACAGACTATGATTATGTACTGTAGGAAAAATAAAAAACATTATGCTAATTTGTTACACAGACATGAACATATTCAAGCGTGTGAGGTTTTGAATTTGCCGGCCTGTCATTGGCTGCTCATGTTAAGGGGGTGTGGCTTCAACTCAAATCACTCGCCGCTTTGTGACTTCGGAGGCATGTAGAGTCTGACTGACAGACCAAGAGACGGTTGGAGTTTTTTTATGAACAAACTTTTATGAATAGGACAACATCAGATCTTAATCATATTTTCCTGCATAGACAACAAACCGGCTAGTCGGCTCTCTTTGTGAGTATCCTCACAAAAGCAGCCAGAGTTAACCGACCCGAGACCTTACTTACTGTTTAATGTAAGTTATTCATCGCGAGGCTTTTTTATTTCGTGTAACGTTATATGACGGCTTATTTATTTCTGTTTTACACTCGTTTTGAATGAGAAGCCATTCATAAGTCTGAGGAGATGTCAGAGAAACGGTTTTCCAGCATGGATGAGTCCTCGCTCCGCACTTTGGTGAGTTCAGCTTTCACTAGTGTCACTTTTTAGCCGTAACAGACATTGGTTTGTAGCTTTAGCATCGCTTTTTGTTTTGGACAGGGCTTTTGTCTTGGTTAAAACCATGTAACATCATTCGTGCTGTATCTAGTGATCAGATACACATAATAAAAATGCTCGTGTAAACATTAAAATGCGAACTCCAGCACGTGTCATGTTGTAAAGTGGTTAAAAATTAACGAGATCCGTTTGAAAAGCTTGTTATTATTCAACCTTAACAATAACAGCGATTATAGTTTTGTTCGTCATATTATTTATATATATATATATATATATATATATATATATATATATATATATATATATATATATATATATATATATATCTTTTATATATATATATATCTTTTATATAATATATAATTTGGTTATCCTGCTTTTACATGTGTACTTGTATAGATGGGAAATTGAGGTAAAGTTGGTTTTATGTTCACTTTCTCCTTTCTATAATTTCAGATAGTGGAATCACATTAGACCATCAAAGTGCATCATTGTTTACAGTTAAATATCAGTGTTAATGTTGTTTTGAAGTCATACTTGCATGTGATTTGAGAGAGAATATTCTAAGTACCATGGTAAACAGTATAGGGAGCATGTCACAAGTTGTCACTGAACGAATGTACGATTGCTAACCTCAACTGATTGGAGCTATAGTTTGAAGAGCATGCATGTAAAAAATCGAAATTTAATTATAGATGGGATATTGAGGTAAAGCTGGTTTTATAGTCACACTTTCTCCTTAATATAATTTCAGTAAGGTATTCTTTAGGAATTCTAAATAGTGGAATCACATTAGCAGCCAATGACTGTCAAAGTACAACATTGTTCACAGTCAATTAAATGGTGCTTATGATGTCTAGAAGTCATTTGCATGTGATTTCAGACTGAATATTCAAAGTTTTTGTTTATTGTAATACATAATCTAAATGCAAGAAAATGAAGTTCAACTTCACAAATTATCTATCAAACATGGAAGGCTCAACACAAAAGCACCTAATTAAGTCCAAATAAAATAAATACAAAAAATAAATAATTAAAAATAATTAAAAAACAATATAAAACAGATGTATCCAGAAGTACCATGGTAAACAATATAGGGAGCATGTCACTAGTCACTGAACAAATGTATGAATGTAAAACCAACTTTACTTCAATAGATGGGAGCTTAAGTTTGAAGAACATGCATGTAAAAAGTTGGTATATAATTTATAATAATGTAACTGATACACTATGCAATTCTGATAGATAAATAAGCTGCATAAGTATTTTTCTTTTTTGAAATTATACTGTTTCTAGCACATTTTGACATGATTACAATTATCAAGTTATTTCATAACTAAAGAGGCAATTTATTCATAACATTATGTATCAATATGAAGCTTATTTTGGATTCCCGGAAGCCGTAGAAATAAAAAAAATGTATAACAGGAAATATGTTGGGACCATTGTTTTTGTTTACATCCCTCAAAATGGTTTATAATAAAATAAATAATAATGAAACGGGTGTTTTTCTTAAAATGGGTGTCTAGAGTCTTCATCTAATGCAGGGGTTCCCAAACTTTTCAGCCCATGACCCCTAAAATAACAATGCCAGTAACCTGCGACTCCCAAATTCCCTAATTAGATCAGTGTTTACCAAAGTGGGGGTTGCGGGGCAATGACAGGGGGTCGCTTGGTGATTTAAAAAAAAGTCAAATAAATTTTATTAAACTATTAGAATTACCATATTTTGACCATAACCCACAGAAGATTAAAAAAATAGTAGTTTTTAATAGTAAAAAAAACAACAACATGCAAATAAAAAGCCATCAGCTTGTAAATTAATATATATTTTTCATAGGATCAGTGTGTTTACATTGGATTAACAACACAGCAATAGCGTCAGCTGCAGCAGATTGATAATATAGCGCCAGGTTTAACTTTGTGACACCTTTATGGCATTCAAATACATATCATATTCAGTTGTGACCTGTATTTTGTCTCTAATTGGCATTCTCCAAAATTAAACCAAGAATAGACTTGTGCTGAAAGCATTGTGCCCACTAGTCTCTTTAGCTGAGGTTAATATTAAATTAAACAAATTAATAAATGACTATAAAAATGATGTGGTTGTTAGACTGTTGCAATCCAAAAAGAGCCTCATATTGATAGTTATTGTTATGGCAGCTGTTTTAACATTAAGTTATGATTGAATTGCCTCTTGTTACAGTTTTGAAATAGTTTGATAACAAGCATTAACATGTTTATGGGCCACTGACATCTCCACATTGAAATGGTCTATAGTTTATTTTGTTATATAGCACATTGCTACGAAGTCACCTTAAAGGGATAGTTCACCCAAAAATGAACCCCTGTTATTTACTCACCCTTCACTAGTTTAAAACCTTCTTTCTTCTTGCTGAACCTAAAGGAAGATATTTTGAAAAATGCTGGTTGTAAGTTGATGCGTTCCAGCAACCAGATGTCTTCAAAATATCTATGTTTGTGTTAACAGCAGCCCAATGTGTAAGAAAACCAAACAAAGACAGACAATAATTTAAAAGGACACCACAAGATTTAAGTCTAATCATCATCTGACTCAGGCCATGTCTACACTAATCCGGATAAAATTGAAAACGGAGTTTTCCTCTAAAAACGCTTCACGTCCACACTGTCGCTTCTATTCGTTTTCCAAAACGTTGTCATCCACACTGAAACGACTACAAATGCTTTCAACCTGTACTGCGCATGCGTGAAACGTAAGACGCTTTGGCACGCGTCATTTCCGGCTGACGTTTATTTTCTTTCAGGCTCCTTGAAACGTTGCGGCAAAATGTCGAGGAAAAGCACAGAGTTTTTTAAATGGACTGACAATAGCCCCTTTCACACAGTGATACCGGTAAATTTCTGGAAAATTTCCGGAACGACTTTACCGGTATATTGAAAAAAGCGCTGTTCACACAGGCGAGGACGTTACGGAAATTTTCCGGAAAAGAGCATTCACACATCCATTCCAAAATACCGGTAAATTCTGACATCATTCACCACAAATGAGCTTTAAACGGCTGCGCTTGTATTTGTAAACATTTGACTAAATTACAAACTCTGTGGATGATCAATATTGTGAACAACTTTCACAGGATCACTTTCGCATGTCGAGATGCTCATGCGTGTGCAGGCGCTCATAGGCGCACGCAAAGCTTGAAGGTAAACAAACAACGGCTTATCATAAGCATCTCATCGATGATTATTTACACAGTTGGCATTAAGAAGAACATATAAACGTGATCTGACTAACTTCTAACAGCTAAATGTGTCTGGAAAAATATTCAAAGGCTTTTATTCTCACAAACCGCGCGGACGTAAATGCGTCTGACTGTTGTGATTGGCTAAAGCAGACGTCTCACGTCAGCACGTTCTAGACGTGCACGCGCTTATTACGGGAATCTTCCTTCTGCATTCACACAGCGCAGCATTCCGGCAAATTACCGGTAAAGTTACAACTTCTCTTTCCGGAAAATAGCCAGAACGAATTTACCGGTATTTTCAAAAAGGACCTGTTCACACATACAACCTTTCCGGAAAATTGCCGGTAATTTTCCGGAAAGGTCTGTATGTGTGAAAGGGGCTAATGAAGTAGAGTTGCTGCTTCGAGTAACACATGAATACAAAGTTGCAAAAGAGAGTGGAAATGTAGACTGGGAGACGTGCCAAAACAAATACGCCGATATACTGGACCGCTTTAAAGAACAGTATCCTGCTGATGACGCTGCTTACCCTCACAGTAAGGACGACATCACTAAAATCATAATCACAACTAAAATAAAGTAAACGAATTAGTAACATGACTGAGTGTCACATGACAAAAAATGCGTCATCGTTTTCGAAAGACTCCGTTTTCACGGTCTACACTACGACACGAAAACGGCGTTTTTAAATCTATCCACTTTGGAGAGCGTTTTCAAAAATACGTTTTTGTTTCCTAAAAACGCAACTCAGTGTGGATGGAAGGGCAAAACGGAGACAAAAATATGCGTCTTTAAATGAAAACGCATTAGTGTGGACATGGCCTCAAATGCCATGAAACTGCCACTTCAAAGCAGGCAGAAAATGGCCATTTGTGTCATGCAGTTTAGCATGGCAATACTGTATATTAATGCAGCAGTCTTCATGCTCTTCTGCCAACCTACCAATGAATCAAATAATACAGACTCTAGTTAAACATCTGTGAGTCAGCACAGCAGCTCGGTCCAGACTGATGTACGGATGAGCGTGAATGAGTCTGACATTTGCAAACAATCTGTCACACAGATAAGAGAGGCTGAGTCAGCCTGTGCAACGTGAGACAGAGAAAACATATACAAAAAGGAACCAAACAAGCAGATTAAGCAAGAAGCAGCAGGACTTTGTAAACACACACTTCACAGATCCTACTTGACAGATGCCAGCGGGGTGTCTTAAATCAGCAGGAGTCAGCTAAGCGCAATCCAAAACAGCAGCTTGGCTATATTTCAGGTGTCATGATCTACAAAAACAGCAAAGTAGTTTTTACGTGAGGCTTGGAATGATGGGACATGTGTCTGGTTTCTGTTGAGTCAGTGCAGTGGCCGTCTTGACTAACAGGTGCTGCAGGTGAGATATAATGAGGTGCTTGAAGGGAGTAAATCATTGAGAGAGGTGGGTGGAACCAGAGCAGTGAAATGGCCAGGAATGAGCATGAAGTAGGAAGCTGTTTCTCAATATGCGTTCTTCAGCGGTCTTGCGTCCTTGTGTTCTCGTGTAACGTCATCATCAGCTGCCTAAGTTCAGTTCCAATACTCAAGACCGCAAGTACGGAGGACGCGTGAAACTTCCCGGATGTGATCTTGATATCGAGGACGCAACCGATGCAGACTTGAGCACCGAACTCGCTCTGGAAGTCCCAGAAGTCATTGCGACTGGAAGTGGGAAGCGCAGCATTTTATTTAGATTTATTATTA